GAATACTAAAATGCGGAATCTCTAAACGCGGAATACTAAAATGGGGAATCTCTAAAACCCGGAATACTAAAAGCCGGAATCTCTAAAACCCGGAATACTAAAATGGGAATCTCTAAAACCCAGAATACTAAAAGCCGGAATCTCTAAAACCCGGAATACTAAAAGACGGAATCTCTAAAACCCGGAATACTAAAATGGGGAATCTCTAAAACCCGGAATACTAAAAGCCGGAATCTCTAAAACCCGGAACACTAAAAGCCGGAATCTCTAAAACACGGAATACTAAAATGGGGAATCTCTAAAACACGGAATACTAAAAGCCGGAATCTCTAAAACCCGGAATACTAAAATGGGGAATCTCTAAAACCCGGAATACTAAAAGCCGGAATCTCTAAAACCCGGAATACTAAAATGGGGAATCTCTAAAACCCGGAATACTAAAAGCCGGAATCTCTAAAAACCGGAATACTAAAATGGGGAATCTCTAAAAACCGGAATACTAAAATGGGGAATCTCTAAAACCCGGACTACTAAAATGGGGAATCTCTAAAAACCGGAATACTAAAATGGGGAATCTCTAAAACCCGGAATACTAAAATGGGGAATCTCTAAAACCCGGAATACTAAAATGGGGAATCTCTAAAACCCGGAATACTAAAATGGGGAATCTCTAAAACGCGGAATACTAAAATGGGGAATCTCTAAAACCCGAAATACTAAAATGGGGAATCTCTAAAACCCGGAATACTAAAAGCCGGAATCTCTAAAACCCGGAATACTAAAAGCCGGAATCTCTAAAACCCGGAATACTAAAAGCCGGAATCTCTAAAACCCGGAATACTAAAATGGGGAATCTCTAAAACCCAGAATACTAAAAGCCGGAATCTCTAAATCCCGGAATACTAAAATGGGGAATCTCTAAAACCCGGAATACTAAAATGGGGAATCTCTAAAACCCGGAATACTAAAATGGGGAATCTCTAAAACCCGGAATACTAAAAGCCGGAATCTCTAAAACCCGGAATACTGAAAGCCGGAATCTCTAAAACCCGGAATACTAAAAGCCGGAATCTCTAAAACCCGGAATACTAAAAGCCGGAATCTCTAAAACCCGGAATACTAAAAGCCGGAATCTCTAAAACCCGGAATACTAAAATGGGGAATCTCTAAAACCCGGAATACTAAAATGGGGAATCTCTACAACCCGGAATACTAAAAGCCGGAATCTCTAACACCCGGAATACTAAAAGCCGGAATCTCTAAAACCCGGAATACTAAAATGGGGAATCTCTGAAACCCGGAATACTAAAATGGGGAACCCCCACCACGGGGAAAGGTGGGGTTACCATGGGGATTAGCAGGGGATTATATTAATTTTTTGGCCCATGACCTTGGGGCATTTGAAGCGTTTTGCATGTCATTTGCCCCCGGGGGTAGGGGAATTTGAACGGATTTTTTTTCGTCTGCAATGCATATGGTCAGCGGTTATACACAACAAAACCAAATCGAGGCAACACCTGGCAACACATGGAAAAGACGAAACGGTTATTCTGAGCCTGGGGCTTGCAAATTACTGAAATATATTTATTCACCGCTTCTGTTAACGTTACGTTTTAGAACTAATATACTAGAACTATACTATACTAATATAAATAAAATTTGATTATTCAAATTGGCGTTCTGTTCAATGAGTACAATAATTATGGCGTATATTTATCAAGTTAAGGTACAGAAACACTATATTTTACTCTCTATTTCCTGTATAAATTAGCATTAACCCCCCCCCCCCCGCGCATTGAAATTTTAACCTTTAAATATTAAATCATTTTAGTTTTTATGCTCCAAATGTTACATTTTGATTCATTTAGGACAAACTTGAACAAGTGTAGCCTTTAATGACTTCTTTATCATTTTGTAAATTTAGGTGTGAACATGCATAAAACGAACAGTTTTACATACTGATGACACTTTAAATAAGCTACCATGCACTGACGCAGTCTTGCTGCAAATTGTAGTTTTTGTATGAAGAGTCCATAAAACTGTTTCTATAATTTTTCACTATCTGTTTGTA